TTTTTTTTTTTTTTTTTTTGAAAACAGTCGAAGTAGAATGTAGGTATGAAAGAAGGGCTGGACTAGTTGGGTGTTAAACACAGTCGGGTTTGCGTAGGAGGATGATATCGGTCATTATTTATGTGAGTAAGAGCTGATTACTCGGATTTTATGGTAGAGGGCCGGATTTTATGTAGCATTGCTCAGTTTCAACAAAGATAGAGTCATTTAAAGACCAGGAAGGATAGTGAGTTGATACCATAATGACTTTCATTTCCTTTATGCCGAAGTGTTTTGGTTTAAAAGGAGTAGTCGCTTGAAGCTCCGTAATTTAGGTGGTGAAAGTGTAGATTAATTACTTATATTTCTGTAGCTGACCGGAGTTTCAACTCACTTCAAATGTGGTGCTTTAAGTTAAGTTTATCGGAAAAGGTTTTTTGACACTACTTTAAAACTGGTGGAATAAGCTGCAATGTTGATTTCATAGGATTTGGAACCATTGTTTTTTCCATTTTTAATTAGTGTTTTGAGGAGTTTGTTAGATGGTTAGCTTCTGTTCGATAGCTAGTGAAGTTTTCATGTGGCGTGTTTTTGGGTCAATTTCTGGTACTCCATATTTATTCGTTCACGAGGAAGGTCACTCAAATAGATGACATCGGAACTTCTGTTTGACATGTCTTCTCACTGCTGCTTTTATAAGCTGAAGATGTGCGTGAAGTGATTCAGCGCGTTTATAAATAAACTACAGATTCTTTTTCTACGCAGGTTCCTGAAGTCTGAGGGCTTTTCGTTTCAAACAAGATCGGTGTTTTGTAATTTGATGTACCTTTTATAATTTCTTGGCATTTCTGCGGGATCAAGCGTCCGCTAGCTATCTGTAGCACTAAATAGGCTGGAAAAAGCTGTGCAGTTATGCTTTTTTTTAATCTGGTGGTTTCTTTAAATGTATAGTTTTTTAGTCAGTAGGGAAAGTAAGACTATACATTAGTTAAGGTGTATTTAAGTTGTTTTTGACAGACATATCGTTCTTCATTAAGAGGTAAAGAACTGGCGCCTACCCATCGCTGTTGTATTTTTATATTGGCCAACTATTGGAAGCCAGATTGTTTCTGTCTTTATTTATCTTAGATTTAATATCTTGTTTTCTGGTTTGGTATGTGGCAATTCTGTTCCAGTGCGTAGTCAATTATAAGTAGTGAAATAAATTTATTCACTAAGTTGAAAAGTGGTTTTTTATGTAAAATGAAGTTTTTATGTGTTAAATTTGAGAGGGCTGGGTGGATGTAAGTGTTGTTCTGAGTTCAGATGTGGGAAACTGCATAAGTGGAAAGATATATAATCCGTGGGATACATAATATTTAATTTTGTCATAATGAACGGATGCAGCATCTAAATCGGTAACATATTGCAAATAGAAATAAGTGGAATGATTGGAGGCTTTATATTTGTCTTTTCTAGCGAATAGGAGAATTTCTAAATCAGTAGTGGAGAGTTTGCGGTAGCCGATCTAGTTTCCCGTGAGGTCTATCTTTAGTTAGTGTTTAATAAATTAGTGACTTCTAAGAGAAGGTTTTAGCAAAGGGAGATAAGGTTGTTTTTTTTTTTTTTTGAAAAACAAGATGAATTAAGTGGTTTGCGGCTCACATTGTTTTTCAAGCGAAAATGTTGGTATCTAACTGGGGTTCTGTTTCTGTCACTGTTCATTGCAGGATTCAAAAAGCAACTTATTTTTTGCCTGACTGTAAGTTCTTCAGACTTCTGGAAGTGGGGAAATTTTTATCAAATAATAAGATTTAAAAAACGCTGTTGACCAACAAGAACTTTTTTCTTACATAGCTGTGATGCAAATGTTTCAGTACGTCGAATATGGTTGGCACTCGTTTTTTTTCTAAATGGAGTACGCTGAAATTTTTTTTTTCAGTTAGAACACGCTCCTACAATGCACTGGGCTATGCTCCTACGAAGATTTAAAAAATATTACCCTGTTGCGGAATATATTTCTGAAGAAGTCATTCAGCATGTTTTAAGTGAGACATGTGCTACTGCTGAAAAGGACATAAAACAACAAAACGACTGCACGTAAGCAATTTTTTATTGGTGGCTTTCTCAACTTTCCGATTAAATGATTCCTTGTTGTATGTTCAGATCTCTTTAGGAGTTATTGTATTTGTCATTCCCCTTTGAGTTATTTAATTTGTGTAGACTTTAAGGCCGAATTTAAGCACTCGTTCTTACACTGAAGATGATCCTGACGCTACTGAGTTAAGTTCTGAAGAGGAAGATGAACTTCCCGGTCCATCTACTTCGCTTGAGAATAGACCACATATCAGGTGTTCTCTCAATCTTTGTTGGCCTGGCTTTTGTCCTCTACGTTAACTGAGTCTTACTATCAATTTGAGCAAGAGTTTGTTCAATTTGTTTATAAGATTTTGTTTGTTGTAGATTCAGAGTCATTTTTACCTTAAGCCTATTATTTATTTTCTTGAAATTTAAAGTAACGATCATATATCATTTTCAGTAAGAATTTGGCTTCATTCCGGTACTTAAGGGAACAGGTTGCGATTTGCGCTCAAGATTACCGGGCAGCGCAAATAATTGAAGAGTGCAACCGTGAAATTGAAGCTGTGAATTTACAAGTAATTTGCATTTCCGATTTACACAAATACTTTGTGCTATATTCTTCGTGTAAAATTGTAAGCCGTGGGAAAAGCGAATGTTTTTTTTTTTTTATTCTAACTCTGTCATGAAGGAAAGTGATCAGTAGTATTCCTGGACTGTCTGTTTATGCACGTTGTAGCTGATGGAAATGCGAAGGAAAAAGTCACCGGTCGATTTTGATTTCGATAAAACGGGTGTGAATGAAACTGAGAGTTCTGCTAGATGTAGACCGTATAGCAGTCGTATCAGGAGGAAACTGTTAAGGGTTGAAGAAAGGTACTGCTGCTTTATATTTCGGTGACCAAATGTTTGTTCCTTCTTACTGACTCCATCTCTTTTAGTGCTCCGAAAAATGATTATGTTGCGAGTTCATTCGATGCAACGGAGCGAGTACATGCATATGCATCTATTGAGGATCGCATAAATCCTGATTTGTCTTTGCTTAATGGTGCTGTTGCATTAATGTTCTTAATTAGTGCTATCTTTTTATTGGTATAGCATCAAAAGGAGTTGTAATTAAGCCTTCAAACGTTGTTTTGGGAATTTTTTAATGTGAACGTATTTAGCTATACCTTTGGAACGACGCATGCAGGCCTACATAAAACGTCGTGCATCACGGCCGCTGAAGTTTCTTCAGCAAAGGCTGGTTTCTGTCCTGATTGTTCTGTTGTTTTCGTTTGTTTATTTTCGTTAAATTTGACTGTGGAATAATTGCTTAAGATGTCAGATGTCGTTTCTCTGTTGGTAGTTACCAAATTCATTGAGTTTTTTGCAGGTCGGATTTTCCTGCTTGGAAGTTACGCGCTAATACCGGCTCCTTCAAGAACTGGGATGAAACACGGCAGTCAAGGAATGAGTTATATGAACAACAGCCTGAAGAAGTTGTTGACAAATGCGGATCTTTTCGTAAAGCTCGGCGAAACAACGTCAGTTTTTAACTTGAAAAGTTAAAATTATGTTTAAGTTGCAGGGGTCTTCTGCCGATCTCTGAATCTAGTTGTATGTCTACACCTGATTGACTGCCGTCGCTTGCTTTACTGGCTGTTTTTTTAAAAGTTAATTGGTTTGTTTGAGTTGTGATGGTGTACCAAATTGGTAGTTTCTGCAAATTAGTTAGATGTTGCATCCGTGGTTGGTAAATCACGTCGGTTTTTTTAAGTGGTCAGTTTTAACTGGTTTTTAAAGAGTTTCATGTTTGCTCTGTATCAGTACTTAACTTCTGTACTTACAAAATTTAAAATTTCAGTACTCGAGCAAGTCTGTTTCTCCGTTGAAAAGAGCTGGTAAGAGGCTTGTGAAGCGATCATTGGGTCAGAAGAGAAATGGAGAGCGTTACTCCAGCGGCCGTAGTCGGAAGGGACATTTAGACAAACGAAAAAGCGTACATTTTCTGCCAAGAATATTTCGAGAATTTAATTATGATGATTCTTCTTTGCAAGATGGTGGTCTTCCTGGTTTACCTCCGAAGATAGACTATAAAGAAATTTGCATTCCGCCGTAAGCTTTTAGAGATACGAGTTTTCACACTAAAAAATAGTTTTGTTTTGTTGCTTCTGTTCTCTGCATTACACATTTACAAATGTTAGGGTTTACCACATTATCACCGGCACTTACATGAGGGGTATTCAGCGGGTTGGAGTGGAAAGGAAGGGCTTGCTTGTTTTTTTTGAACATTGTCTCGAAGGAAATATGGTTGAGGTCTATTTGTTTAACCCTATGGTAGAACGGCTTTTGTTGTTTAAGCTTTTTGTTTCCTCCTAGAGCGTGATTGGTCATGTTCAGCAGATACGTGGCCTGTGCTGAGGAGCGAGTGAATTTTTCTCCAGTTTAAACCTGCAGCAAATTGTTCAGCTCATACGTCTTTAAAGTTTCCATTTTGAGTTTTGAAATAGGCAGTTTTGTTAATTTTTTCTGTCCTTCCACGAGCTCTTGGAATGGTGTCTTTTTGCTTCAAAAAGTATTCTATTAATTGTTTTAGTTGGAAATATGCCCCGATTGACGTAACGAAGATAGAATTAGATTCACCTTGTTTGCACTTAGCTGAGGGAGCGACTTTGGCAGAAATTTCTCGCAGACATTTGCCTTTAGAGTTAAGTGAAAGAAAGCGATTCCAGCAGTACAGGTTAGGATTTTATTTAGATTTTTTCTCATTATTTGTGCTTATTATTTCACTTGTTTCTAGTCTAGGAATTTTTTCACTTATAGTAGTTTTTTTTAGGGACTTCGTTGCATCCAAATCGGCTGGTGGTGCAGGTTCATTAACGGCGGAAACTACGGTTTCTAAGCTTTCTGCTGTTGGACCGTCAAAGTTGTCTGGAACTGGAGGAGTAACTGCCGGTTCTTTAGAAACAGCCAGTAGCGCGTGTTCTAGAGCGCAAACTCCTACCGCTCCTTCCTCTTTGGAGGATGAGAGGCATTCATCTGTTAATGACATTCTCACTCCTGAATATGATAGGCCATCAGTCGCTGCTCCGTATACGCCGCGGCATTTTCCTTTATCATCTCCAGTGTGCCAGGATTCTCCATAATTTTATTTTAGCAGTATGAAGTCCTCACTTTTATTGTTAGACATCATTTGGTTCTGTTTTGATAACGTTGTACTGATGCCTTGTTTTATTGGTTCTCAGTGGTAGCGTGTGAATGGAGGTTCTGAGGATGTTGCTGTCCACAATAATTCTGTTTGTTTGTTTTCAAATCTTTATTGAGCGGAAAAGCGTGTTCTTGAGGGTGGAATCGAAGGATATGAAAGGAACAGTCTATGTGTTTCCTCCATCTGTTTTTGATTTTAACTTTTTTTATTGTTTTCAGAAGTATCTCTGCATGTGGCTCTTTTTTAGTAACTCGCCTATAGTGGAAATTGCAGAAATAGATGTCACGGGGTTTGGAAGCGACACACGTTTTGTTTAGTTAGCGGTTGCATATCTTGATAGGAAGTTCTGTATCTTTGTATCAGATTCTTAATTTTTAGAAAATCGATTCTATTAGTAGTTTTAAAAGAAATTTGCATCATTCAGTTCTTAAATTTGCGTTGTTTTTGCTGGTTAATTCCTCTAGTTTTACTACAAACGAATCTAAGGTATGGAGGCGAAGCACAGTTTAATTAATACAGACTTCAATGGAAACGAGTCAGTTATCAATACAAACCCGGCTTTATCGATGCTTGGCAATTGTTATTAGTTACAGTGCACTGTCTGGTTTTTTTGGACCACGTTGCTCTTTGTCTATTTACCCTGGTTCTGTAAAAGTTTCACCCTCTTTCCTGGTTTTCATTTTGGTTTTGTCATGATTTTACTTTTCAAATGTTTCCTCGATTTTCTTCTGTTCAATTTTTCTTCTTTGTTCTCCATTCATTTCAAATTTTATGAGTTGCAGGTTTTGTGCATATATTGGTCTCTGTTATCTAGTGTGTTAGTCACAGGTTTACTACTCTGGTGCATTTTAAAACTTTAAGATTTTTTAGACTGGTGAGTTGTGTAAAATGTGTAGTTTAATTTTTAGTGATTGTACCACTGTGTTGCTGTTGACGTTTACCAGTGTTTCAGATGTTTATGAGCCGTAGTTGTTTTACATGTTATTAATAGTAGTGATGGTAGCTGGAGATTTTGGTTTCTTTTTAACTCTCAGGTATCTTCATAATCGTTGTTTAGCCTTGTTGTTTTCAAAGAAACCAACTTTCAAGTGTTTTCGTACTCATGGTTTTCTCGTATTTGATTGTAGTTGATACATTACTTGATGAAGAGGATTATGCAGTTTGTTTACCATGCAAAACTTTTTAGCTGTTATTGGTTTGTTTGGGTAAACGAGCTACCTCCCCTTCTTTGAGGTAATGAAAATGTGGTATTTAGTCATTCTTTTATCTGATCTATCATTTTTGTTTGCATCTCAGAGGTTTTCATTTTGCTAATCATTAATCGTTTTTTGATGTACATTGTCATTTATATTTTTGAAATTTTATATTGTTTAGTGCAAGTTTACCAGAATACTGAGCATTAAACTAAGTTGTCTGTTTGTTTATATGCCGCACACTAGATCATAATGACTGACGTTGAAAGGCAGAAGATTCTGATTGATTCCACAACTTGTGGCTCAGTAAAGAAGCTTAATTGCCGTTGTTATTGTTTGTTGTTGTTGAGGGAAGGTTGTCGAGGAGCAGGAACTTTGCGTAGTTTTTCAAATGTAACAATTTGTTTTCATGAAGCGATCGTTTTGAGTGCAGAGCTCGTTGGTACGAATAAAGCCTCTGTTGTTTTTTGTGGCTTACTGGTGTGGTTCCATCTGTCTATTTTTGGAGAGGGGGGCAAAGTTTGTTATTTTCGTGACGGAAGCTTGGTCTCGTGCTGTCTGAGGCCTTGTCTTTGTTGTTTGTTTTGGGGTTCGTTGTTGAATAGTATTATGGGCGATAAAGCTTGAGCTTTATCTTTTAAGAGGGATCTGGCGTGCTTTGCTATGCACGACTTGGTCGTAGCTTGGCTCGTTTCTTTATTTTACCGATTCCGAAGTTATAATTTCGGATGTAGGGTTTGCTGCGTGTGGAAGGGTAGTGCACTTTTTGGGAATTTGCAGTTTGATAGATGGAGCGATGTGTTCTTACTCTGATATCTTTTAGTTTTCAGTGTGGGCGATGTCTGTTCCCTCTGAATATATTTTCTGTGAAAATTAATTGGGTTTGACTGAGCAAGAAGGTGCTATTGTTTTAAGTGAGTTCTAAGGAAATTTGTTTTGCATAACTGGAACGGCACCAGAGGTGGAATTTCCGTTTTATCTGTTTCTTGCAAGTGTTTCAGTTTGAAGGCTACGTTAGTTCAACCAAGTTTTGACTCTGAGTCTTTACTGTTTTTGTGGAATAAATTTATTCAGTTGTTTCAGGTTTATCTTTATCATGTTGGGGCGCGACCTGTTGGTTTTACTCACCGTAGTATGCTTTGTTGAATTTTCAACGTTAGTTTATTTTACCTTTGATGTTGAAGATGTTTCTTCGTAGAGTTCTCTGAACTTTTATGGAGTTCATCTTGTTTTTGCTTGGAGGTATTTAGTTGTAGAGTTTTTAGTTGTGAGAGGCAATCTTGAAAGGCTAATTTTTTGCAAAAAGTTTTGGAAATCAGCCCAGATATTTCGATGTATTTATAACTGAATTATTTGTTTTACTTTAATTTCAGTGCAGTAACTGATACATGTTATCAGTGTAATTCTGCTCTCGAACCAGATTGTGCATCAAGTGATTTAACTCTATTAAAAAAATTTATCAAAAAATGTGATCCCGATGCTGAAATTCCTCAGAAATCTGGAAGCACTCCGGTCGCTTGTCGCAAAATCATTCAGGTTTTTTTCTAACTTGTAATGAAGGCAGATTTGGGGGGAGGCATGAAATTTTGAGTTTTTGGGTATGTCTTATTAGGACTGGTTTTTATTTTTTGATTTTTTTTTTATTTTATTCATATCAAAAGATGATGGGGGGGCACCTTCTGACTGTTCCCGTCTTAGTTAATTTTTATTTTATTTATTAGTTATTGAAAGACAAATTTTTCATGAGAAAAGTTAGTGTTTTGACTTGAATTTCTCAATTTCAGCAGGTAGATCCAACTCCAGAGCGTATTATACGTGAGTGCTCTTACACTTTGGTGCATGGTAGTCCTCAAGTGAATGGTATGCGGAAACAGGGGAACAAAGGGATCAAGATGTTTTATTATCAGTGTGAAAACGCAGATAACGTTAGTTGTTGTTTTTTCACCTTACTATGTTTTCGGAAGCATCATTTCTCGAAATTTATTAGGTGGAACTGAAGCTGTAGAATTTTGACAGTGAAGCAAGTTGCTGTCTTTTATAATGAGTTGGATTAGTTCTTTTACCCTTTTGTGGAATGAGTTATAAATCCTAGTTGTTCTTTTTATTTTGTTTATAGGACTAAAAATGTTTTTTTCTGATTTTTTTGCCACTTTAGTACTGGTAATTTTTACGACTTAATTTTCCTATTATTTTTTTCTTGAACATCGGGACCTCCGTTTTTAATTTTTGATTTCTTGCAAAAAGTTTCTTTACAACTTCTACTCGACCACTTTTAGGAATCTCCATGCAACGATGCTCCGGCACACCTTCATTCACTGTTAGCGCTAGTGATTTCTGCTCTCTTACTGCTAGTAATGTAGAATATGATATCACATCGTTTCTGAGAAACCAAGGATTTTAACTTTATCAGCTTGATCTGGGCTGCACTTAGTTTCATTTTTTTTTTAGAAGAAAATTCACCAAATATTCTAGGTGTACGGTCATTATGCATAACATTTGAAAGAAATAGTTTTATATTTGCTAATATTTGATTAATTACTTGGTTATTGTATATGTTGGAACTTTTGGAAAATTTCTTTTTGTTGTATAAAGGTCGTTAATGCGATTTTATTAGTGTTACGCTTGCTTATTTGTTTCAGAAAATTACCCTCTGTTTGTAGACAGTGACTGCCATTCCAGTTTACATAATTGTTGATAGATTGTCAGTTAACTACTTCTGTACCCTCTAGATTTCTCGATCTATTTATTCACAGTCTAGACATCTTGATTTCTTTCGCTTTCATTTCTACTCTATCAGACCTTTTATTACTTTTTGCTCGTTGTATGTTGCTCACGCCTCTTACTT